AGAATTCTCTATATAATTATCTAATGCAATTATAGAAGTGTGTTTGTGCGTGCTATCATTCTAGCTATCCTTTGGTTGAAATGGGCCATACCTTTATCTTTCCCATGCTGCAGTATCACTCTTTTGGCCAGGGTAAGGGCATGATGAATCCATTTATATTGTCTGGTTATCAAATTTCACGTATGAGATATATAGTTCAAAAATATTACAGTCTGAAATGTTAGCTTGTGTTGCACAATTATATTTATATAATCCAATTCTTTTCTCCAAAACTGGATAAGTGTAGGAGATTGCAAAAACATATGTTTCAAAGAAGCATTATCATTGTTACATCTTCAACAGAATTCTGCTTTTGACAGTCCTTTTCTATATAAATGTAATGAAGCCCAATACATTCTAAATATTACTTCTTGTTGTATAAGTTGTATTTGAGATCCATTGACATTCTTGCTATGAAAGTTAAAATACTGTCCCCTTGTCTAGGCAACATGGAAACCTCTCATACTTTATTCCATTCATGTCTTAGCAATTCCATATCGCATTAATTATTGATAACAAGTATCCATAGAAACTTATGGTAGATTTTTGTTTTTTTGTTTTTAAAGTGTTTAACAGGTTGTTCTAATATCTCAGGTGTCTCAGAAGCTGAAAACACCCAGACACAAACTGAGCAATGTGGTATATGCAGTACAATGCAGTGAACCATATGCAGATCTGTACATTGGGTAAACAAAACAATCTCTTCATAAACACATGGCACAACATAGGAGAACAAACCCGTCAGGACCAGATTCACCAGTCCATCTGCATTTAAAAAAACAAAGGCCACACTTTTGAAGACAGCAAAGTCCACATTTTGGACAGAGAGGATTGCTGGTTTGAAAGAGGGGTCAAAGAAGCCATCTATGTCAAAATTGAACAGCCCTCTCTCAACAGAGGGGGAGGGATACAACATTATCTATCTCCAGTTTATAGCACAGTCCTTTCAACAGTTCCAAGAAGGCTCCACATTCATTTGCACCACTCAGGTGACCTTGATGACACAGATAAACCGCCAGGTGGCCTTAACAACTCGCTAAAAGAATGCAAATGACCAGCTGTCTGCGAGGAGTATAAATCCTTAAATTCCCTACCATCCAGTCAGAGCTGAAGAAGCTTCTTGGATGAGAAGTGAAACATCTTCAGAGAAAAACAAGAAAGTCCAGTTGCCTCTTGAAAAAAGTATATTTGGGACAACCATGACCTGGATGACTGGGAATCTCCATAGTCATTTCTATTGATACATTTGCAATGGTCTAGAACCATTGGTGATGGTGAACCTATGGCACGAGTGCCACAGGTGGCACACAGTGCCTTCTCTATGGGCATGTGAATCATCACTCCGTCACGCATGTATGCATGCCTCCTACCAGCCAGCTGGTCATCAGGTCTCTGCTGTGCATGTACAGGGGGTGGGGCACGTGTGGGGGTGCACATGCATGCATGGGTGTGTGTGTATGGGGGCACATGCATGCGTGGGGGCCGTGCACGCATTGCATTTTGGGAGTTCGGGCATGTGTGTGTGCGCTTTGGGCACTCGGTCCAGAAAAGGTTAGCCTTCACTAGTCTAGAACAATTAAAGTGCAAATTATAAAACACAAAAATACCATTGCGGTGAGATGGGCAGGAAATAAATTTAATAAATAAATATATGTTAAACTTAAAAAATCAATGTCTTTTAAATTGTTTCAGTCAATAACTGGTGTAGGAAATTAAATTTTACTGTTTTCCTGAATACTGGAAAAATAAGGTGGGGATGAGGGTAACAAATATACTCCATTGTGGAGGGTATTTTATAGCCTAGGATCCACATAGGCTAAGGTCCTCTCCTACTGCCAGGTACGTGAGTTCTAGCAATAAAGGTGCTCAAAAGAATTTATGGCTGATGTAAATAGCTGAAAAGGTTCAGAGTTGGGCGTCGTCAGGCTCTAAGCATCATTTAAAGATCAACATTAGCACCTTAATCTGTACTCAGATTATAATTGAAGATCCTTTGTTTCAGGCATCCTGTAATCCCGATATCTTTCACAGGGTTGGAGCATCTGCATTTTATACCAAATGTGATATTTCAAGAATAGTCCCATGTAAGACATCTTGCAGTAGTCAAGAGGTAATGTAGCCAATGCATGGGTATTGGTTGCAAAGTCCACCCAGCTCAGCAAAGTTTATAGTTGACCACTAGCCACAGCTAGCTGAGACAATGCACTCCTTGCCAGAGCCATCACCTGCAAGTCCAGTAATCACTGGAGGTCAAGGAGAGTCTTCAAACTTCAAATTTATCCTTTCCAGGGAAGTGCAGAAGAATCTCTAAATTCAGTTTTCTTCTACTGACAGCATCTCTGCCTTACCTGTATTTAATTTCCCATTTTTCTCCCTCCCCCTGTTGATCTTAGGTAACATTCCCAGTTGCTAATTATTTCTTTAAAATTAGACCACAGGGACCTGTATAGCTGGCTGTCGTCAGCATCCTAATGGCACCTCACTCAGCACTCTAAATGATCTCACCCACTGGTTTCATTTAGATGCTAAACAGCATAGAGGGCAAGATAGAACCATGTAGGGCATCATAGGTTAGTGCCCTAGGTGTCAAACAATAGTCACCCAGCACCACCTCCTGGATGTTTCAAAAATAGAGGAATATATATGTTTAAAGAAACTATCTCTGCAGCTACTGGATCTGCAGAGCCATCTATAGTGGAAAGTCTGTAGATCTTCCAATTTTCTACCATGAATAATCTCTTGTAGGTTCTTGCCCAAACCTGGGGCAGTTTTACATACTGGTGATGCCATTCACATATTTTCATCCTAGTCTGTGGTCCATGTTAGGAGGATGTCACAGTATACCAACAGTTTCACACATTCCGAGTGCATACTTTATTTATACTGGCTTTGCTCCATCTCCTCGGAGACTTTTTTTGCTTTGGTTTGGGAGTCACTTCAGGTTCTGGGGGTGAGAGGTGGGTGGTTCAAGAAACACTAACAAAAGGAAGAAGGTGTGGTTGTGGAAACAGTCCTAATTCCGTTGACCTGAGCTTCCACTCTCACTGTACCTGTTGATTCCTTTTCACAAGGATCTGTTGGCATTAGCTAGATTGACTGTCATCTGCTGGTGTTTTGGCTGCAGCTCTACCAGCAGGTGGCAAAAGAAAACTGTCTTGTCTCCAACAAGACAAGTGATCTGTAACTTGGGCATTTAAATATTAAGGAAGGTGCCCTTCTCCATTGCAAATATATATAAAAAATGTCCACTCTTCTGGCAAGGAGATGCTATGCAGAATCTGCTCATCTGTCTTCTCCCTGCTTCAATCTGCATGCAGGACTGGGGGAAAAAAGTATATAGCTGGCACCTCAACAGAATTGATGAATTATTAGCTTTTCTTTTTTCTGGTTTGCAGTTCGACAGAAATTATAAACCAGATATTGGAATTTTTCTCCATCTCGTAACTTTTACTTCATACAAATAAGGCCATTTTTCTTTACTAACCTCTTGCAGGTTAGTAATCTTTGGGAGAGATGCAAACATTTACATAGTCATATGAATTTATTTATTTATTTATTTGTATCCTGCCTAGGGAGCATGATGGGTAAAGTGGTTAAGATGCTGGGTTGACAAGCAGGAAGCCCATGTTCAAGACCCAAGTGCAGACCATGGGGCAGGGTGAGCTCCTGTCCTTTGTTCCAGTTCCTGGTGGGGACATGAAAAGAGTTTGAAATACTTCCTCTGAACCATTTTTGAAGTGCACAGCCCTAATAAAGCACCCATTCAATTCAACTGAGAAGTCAGGAATTCAAAATTCCCCCCTGCATAAACATGCTAAGTACTATAAAGGTAAAGGTAAAGGTTCCCCTCACACACATGTGCTAGTTATTCCCGACTCTAGGGGTTGTTGCTCATCTCCGTCTCAAAGCCGAAGAGCCAGCGCTCTCCGAAGATGTCTCCGTGGTCATGACTAAATGCCAAAGGCACACAGAATGCTGTTACCTTCCCACCAAAGGTGGTCCCTATTTTTCTACTTGCATTTTTTACGTACTTTCGAACTGCTAGATTGGCAGAAGCTGGGACAAGTAGCAGGAGCTCACCCTGTTATGCGGCACTAGGGATTTGAACCGCTGAACTGCCGACCTTTTAATCTCAGTGTCCACCGTGTTCCTACTATATTGCCCCTTAAAACAGTACATGGTAATATTAATATAGATCTATGTTGGAGGTTTGTTGTTGTTAGTTGCAAAGTCATGTCCGACCCATCATGACCCCATGGACAATGTTCCTCCAGGCCTTCCTGTCCTCTACCATCCTCTGGAGTCCATTTAAGCTCACGCCTACTGCTTCAGTGACTCCATCCAGCCACCTCGTTCTTTGTCGTCCCCTTCTCCTTTTGCCCTCAATCTTTCCCAGCATTAGGCTCTTCTCCAGTGAGTCCTTCCTTCTCATTAGGTGGCCAAAGTATTTGAGTGTTGGAGGTTACTTAAAGTATATTTCACGAAGAGCTGATCATACAAACAGCCATGTAAGAGTCTCTGACCAGTGAAATGGGCAGCATATAAATTTAATAAATAAAAACTAAAAATAAATATTAGTGTTCAGCCTAATCTACCTCTGTCTTCTTAAGGAAGGATGTGTACAACTTAGATAAATCAGTATCATAATTAACATGGACGATTAATGCAAATTTAGTCTGTGCACTTTTCATCCCTTTGATTCACCAGATTAATTTTGCCTACCTACTGCCTAAAATCATTAACTGACCCAATGGTAAAGATTCCTATTTCTCTTTAGGAGGATTGCCTGATAAAGCAGGGTGCCTGATTTCTCCAAGGTTCCTTCAGGGTTTCCCAACCTGACTGCATTAATTGAGGGTGGTGATTTGTATTTCTGGATCCTTGCACACTATTGGTCTGAGGAAGGCTTCATGCCCTTAAAGAGAGATTTTTTTTTTGCTGAGCTGTTTAAGAAACCCATTTATACCTCCTGAGGAAGCCGAGTGCTTGTGGCTTGCCAGTCGAACCTGCCCTCCCACCAGCGCTCTCTGTATTTCTTCTTGGGACTTGGGTGAGCCCTTTGCATGTCTCTTATTCATCTCTCTTTACCTTTAAGGGAGTAAAAGGAAGGAATAGAAGTGCTCTGGTGCTTAGATTAACAATGTGTGCTTGGCTGAATGATAGGATCTAAAGGTGAGCATTGAATTGAAAAGCTGTTCCCCATCACCTGTCAGGAAGTCCCATTTCTCCCCCAATCCCCACTTTTAACCTACACATTTTCATCTGACATTCTCCCTACTATGTTTCTTGCTGCTCTCACTCCATTCAAGAATGCCGGTTCGTGGCACTTCAGAAGGGAAACACTGACATTTCTCCTCTGTTCTAACTCTCATACATTAAGTGAGAAAGTTGAACAATATAAATTTGCATGCTGCTTAAATTTACCTGGGTTTTTTTTTCTTCATCCAGCCTTGTCAGATGAGGAAGCTTGGACAAAAGCAGCAATTTTTGCTTTGCCAAAACAAGTTTTGGGGCAGAAAGAAATGGAATTGATGCTCCATTCAAAAAGCAGTTTGATGCTGCAGGCAGCAAACACTAAAACCGCTTGTTCAAAGGGAGCCGGGAAGTTTATCACACTTGGCTGCTTGGTCTTTTTCACATTTGCTGGTAAAAAATAAATTAGAACGGAGAGATTGCTTTTTCATTTCAGGGAGGCCAAGCTGTGCCTCTTTCCCAAGCTGTGGGCTGACATTTTTCGTCAAAGTTATTGTCGCTCATACTTCGGGCTCCTGTCGTTGCCACAGTGATTCCCTCACAACTCGTGTGGTTAGGACTGGAAAAGGCTACAATCCAAGGAGACAGCTGCTGTTCCTTACAAGCCATATTTAGAAGCACTTTCTTCTCAGTTATGTGATAGGTCCTACACATTTTTAGGATAAGATTTCTTTTGGGAGACTTGCCATCGCCTTCTGGATGTCCTTGCTGGGCATCTTTTAACTGTTCCTCTTATTCCAACTCAAAAGGACATTGGTGGTGACTGAGGCTAGCATAAAAAATGACACCAGCAGCTTCACTAATAAGAGAAAATGTCACCTTATCATCCTGGTATCCTTGAAACACCAGTAATGCCTAAGGTTATAGTTATGCACTGCACCAGTGAGCACACCCACAGTAATCAATATGCAAACATTGACTATAGAAGATGTCATTGACCAAGAATCCTTACAATGAATATAAGATGTTGGACTAAATCTCAAAACATGTTTTGTTCCCCTGTTCAAAATATCCCCTGCCATAAAAAAATGCTTGCAGTTGTTCAAGTAGACGCTATTTCTAGGAAAAAAGGAATAAAATTTGGGAACTTTCTGAAATGCTTAGTGGATCATGGTTTTCTCCAGCTATGATTAACGACACATTTGGCTGCTTTCTATAGATGTGGTAACTATTTCTCCACTCAACAGAAGGAGAAGAGTTAGGGAGGTAGTATCACCCTATTTGTTTTCTATTCAAAGCAGTGTCCAATACTAACTATTCTGAAGAATTCAATTTTATTAAAAACTTTATTCCTTCTGGTTTATTGCAGGGTCTCATCAACAAAACCAAGATGTCAGAGTAAGTTGTTCTTTGTAATATGGATGTTTTTATGAACTAGAGATTCAAATATTTTTAATTTTCATGTGCCCCAATCCACCTGAAGTTCAGGCATGTGGAAAATGGTTTTTTGTCTTATCTTCATCTAGAGATGGGAGGGGCATTTGCAGTTATGGGCTTCCTGCACTGAACTTTTTCCTCTGCGTTCTTTGTTCCTTCCTTGTAACCTTTGGAAGTATTTCATCAGTGTTGCCCTTAATGTCCCATGGGTATTTTGGGGATAATGGTACTTCTATTTCTTTTCAGACCTTCAAACTAACTATCTTTTTCCCCCTCCTCCCTCCCTCCCTTTCTTCTTGTGATCATCTGCTCTTTCCTAACAGTGAAGAAGTAAGTTTTTTTTTATAATTGATTATTCTGGGGACTCTGTTTAGAATTAGAATATGATTAACTTGGTAACACCGTCGGCCTACCTAAATTTTCTCTTCGGTAGAAGAAACTGAAGGACAATGAATAGTTGATAGTTATACCAGATTTTCTAGCTTCTTCATCTTTTCTTAAAAATGCCAGTTCGATTCAGCTGTATTATGTAGTTATTATTATTGATTAGCAGACACCCCCTACAAAAACACACAATGTATACTAAATTATTTAAATCTGGGCAAAACCAATCCTGCTGGGTTGTTTTATACTGAAACATTATAGTTTTGGTCCAAAGTCCCACTGAAATGGCATCACTGATCTCAATGATTGCATCACATATTCTTGGGTGATAAAAGAAACAGAATCCAGGAAAACAATCTATTCAAATGAAGAGGAAGGGCTACATACACAGGATGAAGGCTAATGTTTGATAGCTAGATTAAAAGAGCTGGATTGTAGATGAACCTGTTCCCAACATGAACATTTGAACTTATTCGCCAAATTAAATAAAGTGTTGCCATTTTGGCGAGATACTGCCATAGCAAGTGAAGGCCTCCCTCCCATTTCTGATACTAGATTGCATATCCTTTTCGAAAGAGCCTGCAAAAGGAAACAGCATTCTTTAATGACTCCTTATCATTAAGTGCAATGAAATCGATATTTTAGGTGGCACACAAGAAAAATATTTGGATTATAATAAATTCCCATCCCACTCCTTGGAGTGGTTATTTCATAGTATCAAGTGGAAAGCAGTTGTTGTAATTCTCTGGAGGGCATGCTGACCAATGGTGGATTGCTACCGGTTCGCCCCGGATTGGGCGAACCAGTAGTGGTGATGGCGGGAGGCTCTGCCCACCCACCCGGATGTCTCTGCGCATGTGCAGAAGCATTGCGCGTGCACGCGCCCATGAGCAAACCAGTAGTGAACGAAATTGAAACCCACTATTGATGGTGACCTCCAGTATCTTGCTCAGAGTAAGGTGGATCACATGCTGGATCCAGAATGGCTCTGCCGTTCCAAAGATTTCCTCTATGTTCTTGGGGGTTAAACTTTGGGGTAATCTGAAGAGCTATGAACAAACAAAGCTTTGCTCTGAGGAGCCCCAAAGCAAAACTTTAAGGACTAAAGTCAGCCTGTTCTGCCCTACCATGCAAGAAAGCAGCTGGTGCAGCCCCCTAGGCATGCTTCAGGCAAAGATGGTTTGCTTTAAATCTTTTAATACCTCAGAATTTTGCACTCTCAAGACCCATTGGAAGCAGTGCATGTTGACTGCACAACACGCAGTGAAGAAACAACAGCTGTAGCAGTAAAGCAGGGGAAGAATGATGGGATCCTTCCTCTTAAAGAGTCTCCTTGGACCACTCTACACACTGCATGGACCAGATAACTTTACCTTGTACATTATACAAGTCATCCTGCCAAGCACAGCTTTCCTTTTATAATAAAAAGCTATTAAAGTAACTTAAAAAGCTTAAACAGACAATACCTCAAGGGTTCCTTCTCTCCTGGGGACTATCGTGGCACTGTAATAAGGCAATCTGTTTTCTTATAAATTGTGTGGGTAGCCTTGAAGGATTTGCAAAGTTTCTGTCTGAAGAGCTATTAAAGGAGGATGTAGGATGAAATCAATTGCGAAGTTCATCCTTCCTTCTTTAAACTTCCATGTCCCTCGCCTTAATAAGAAGTGAAACACCGCCCCCTCCCATAAGCTTAAATCTGCAGATAGTTACAGGCTGCTAGAATACAGTATATACAGCCTGCCCCTCCCTGTTATGATTCTACAACTCCTTTTGCTATAACTGGAATCCTGCTTTCCAGAGCAAATTTGTAACAGCGGAAGAATTTGCTCTATCTCTAATTATATTTGTTCTCTTTATGTAATTGCTTTGTAAATTATTTGAAGAATTCTAGACCAACAGCTTTTCTAAACTCATGTATTACCAGGAGGGATTGAGTTGTTGAAAGGGACATAAAAATGTCATGATTAGTTTTTTTCCTTCCAACCTCCTTACCTTGAATTGAGCTAGATTATGCCAAATAGTAAGTTGCATTCAAATATTCAGTCAAAACCAGTAAAGGAAACCAGTGTGTTAATACAAATAAGCAAACAGATATCAATACTACAACGCTTGGCTGTATTCTCAAAGGTTTCATAAGAAAAATATTATTTTCACCAAGAGAATGTAGGTTGACAGAGTTTCATGGTAGATTCAGTTTTGTATACACAATCTTTAGCAATGACTGGAAAAGCCCTATCTTGAGAGTCATAACTTTGACAGAGCACATGTATGCATGCAAAAATATCCTGGGATTCAGTTCTGGGCATTTCCTTAAACCATTACTCCCTTTGGACGAAAATATCAGAAAAATGTATTGTTTCACTTCCAGAGTAATGAAATTATAGTAAAAAATTTAAGTCCCTAATTAGCATAATTTATGGGAAATTATTTCTATTCCTGTATAACATGAAAAATATATGGGTACAAATATGACAGAATTTATGGAAATCAAATTAGAACCTAAATATTTCCTATCTAATGATTCAATCCTGGTCACTTCCAGATGAAACTGGAAAACTCCAGTTGAAAACCTAACATCAACTCTGTTAAACTAGCTGGATCACTGGTCCAAGTTGGCATAAACAAACTCTTTTTGTGTTCCAGACTTAACATATTACACTGAGATCAAACTGAAGGAGTTCTCAGTCTAATAATTCAGACAATATAATACAGTTCTTTTGTTCTGCATCTAATTAACTCTCTTAATGTATAGGGTATCTTTTTTAAAAATAGCTTCAGAACTTCCATTCTATTTTGTTTAATCCCATCTGTATTGAATTGGATTATCTGTACATAAGAAGAGCTGCTACACAATTGGTTTCTGGAATAGCCATCTTAGAGCAAACATATAACTACAAACGATAGATTTGACCAAAGCTTACTAAAGTTGAACCGAATCTTTCAACAGGACAAATTCTGAGCTAAGGCTGTCCACATAATAAGTGACCTTATCAGATTTCTTAAACATACTTAACTTGGATAGGAGGTCCTCAAATGAATGTGCAACAAGCAGCACATACAGCTATTCAAAACATGAGTAACTATTCCTGTTACACCAAACCATTAGAGACAAAATATATGGTTGCCTAGAGAAGTCATTTTGTAGAAGTTAAAGTTCTTAAGTTAATATAATTTAAGGACACATTTTGAAACCTATATTAGCTAATTTGAAAAAAAGATAGCAGGAGTAGAAATAGGACAATATTAATAGGAGTCAAATTTTGACTTGAATATTTCCTGTCTCCAGAGTGAGGGAGGCTATATAATTCAATCTTTGCACTACTATGAATTGTGAAAGCAAGTCTGAGTAAAGAAAATTTCGAATAGCAAATGACAGAAGAGGAGTGGATTTATCCTCTACCTCAACTATGGATGTTATTCTTGGGATGTTATCTCATGTTTATATGGAAAGGGTGGTCAGATTTCTAGGAAAGATGCATGCAAAAATGTGGCTTGTGGAAAAGGTACTGTAAAAGCTCAAAGTCTTCTTTTTCTTTTTCCTAATTTTAGAAAAAGAAGAGGGCTATCACTGCCCGCCGGCAACATCTCAAGGTATATATATATATATATATTTGTGGAGATCATTTTTTTTTTAAAAAAAGCAATGCTACTTTATTGTCTTGTTGCCTTTCTCCCTAGAGAAGAAGGAAGGTAAAAAGTCCTATGCCATGCAGCATTTCTCTTCTGGAATGTCTAGCAAAATACTTCCCAAATGATATCTGGGCATCTGCCAAGAATGAGACAGAAAAAACTAGAATTGGTCTGAATGTTCCACATGTATACATATATCTGCTGTCATTCATTAACAAAGAATGTTTCAAGTTAATGAACAGTTCTAAGATTTCTGTCCCATTTTCAAGTATAGGAGCTGCAGGTTAGCTGTGACAGTGACAATTCTGACAATACTTTAAATGCAAGCCTGGCCCAAGTGCTAGGAGTGAATTTTCATTCTTTCCCTTCCCTCCAAATTTAAAACAAGAGGACACACGAGGAAGAAGTTTTATCCCCATACCTTCCATGAACTCCATTTCAACAATGCATTTTGCTCTTGAGGTAATTGCTGATATCAAATTAATCATGAGGAAAATGCTCTGGAAAGAATCTACAATCAGTAACCTACTGGTGACTGGAAAAAAATTCTTGCTTATGGGCAAATTCATTATGTTACTACGATCAGATTTTCATTCCATCTTTCTACATGATTGGGATAGTTCTTTCGCTGAACTAAAGGACATTGTGCTTAACCTCTAGTAATGATGAAAATAATTAATAATCATGAATAATTACACTTTGAATTTTAAAAACCTTCTGAGTGATTGTGATTTGCTGAAAATCTATTAGGGGATTCATGGTGTATCCTCAACATGAATGAACATTCTAGTCATAGGAATGGAGAAATGATGGTCTTCATATTTCGTTGAACCAGAAATAGTAGCAATCCAGCCAATTCGACCAGTGCTGATGGCTGTTGGGAGCTGTAGTTTTTGGTAATACGTGAAAGACCATAGACCTCCAATTTGTGTCTTATGTTTTACTTCTTAGA